AGGAACTTAAGGAAAAATTTCTTGACAGTGAGGGTGACAGAGCACTGGAACAGGCTGCCCAGAGAGGTTGTGGAGTCTCTTTCTCTGGAGATCTTCAAAACCCGCTTGGATGCAGTCCTGTGCCACGTGCTCTAGGTGACCCCGCGTGTGCAGGGGGGTTGGACTAGATGATCTCTAGAGGTCTCTTCCAACCCTAAGCATTCTATGATTCTATTCTATGATTCTATGTAATGGAAAAGACTGTTGGACGGAGAAGACCCTAATAGTATCACTACATGTAAATAAAAGTAGGACACAATCTTAAAATATTTAGCCATGTAGTAACTAATGTAGATGTGGTAACTAATAAAGATAGGAAGGCAGAAATGCAAATCCGACCTTTGTGCCCACGCATATTTGCAAATCAGTCTCTAAGATTCTCAAGTAAATCAGGAGAAAATGGGACAAACAACATTTTTTTTAGTTCTAGCTGCAAAATACGTGTTCATATGCTGTCTTGTCTGTCACACATCAGTGATTTAAGACCAAAATTTTCTTTGTGCCCAGTGTTTAAAGTCTGCCCCATTATAAGAATTCAGGCTGTAGCTAAAAAAAGGCACATACTTATAGGTGTATCCACTCACCTCATAGAAATCACAAATGGATGTATTCCACCCCCACTTGACGAAAAATGTACCCATTAAGCTCCAAAAATACAAATTTGTGCTTTGTCAGACTAGCTACCAGAATGCCTCTAACTAAGCTGACTTCAGAAAAAAGTTTCCTCCCCAGGCCCTTCTTATTTCTGTTTAGAGATTCTTAGCTTTTTATAAATTCTTTTGTTACAGATGAAATCAAAGCCATGCTTGAGCATGCACAATGCTAAGAAATTTCCACAAGAATCTGTTACTCATGTATTGATCACATGAACATAATCAAATGCATTCAGCTGTCATTTTAATTTTCAATATTTCCTTTGTCAGATGGAAAATGGTTTATTTCAAAAGGGAAAGGGATGTCTTGAAGAACTGGCAGCTAAGAAACACCTCTATTCGTAATATGGCATACTGACATCTTAGAGAAAAACTATTTGGAAATATATGGTTTATTTTCATTTGAAATGTTCTCATCTGATGGAAAATTTTCAAGATTAATCACAACTAAATGTCACCATAATTTAATTTAATATTTTTTCATCACGAAAATCCTCAGAACTGGTTTAGTACATGGAATAATGTATTTCATAACAGATTTACTAATGGAATAATGACTCTTTGGTGAGTTTGGGACTATTGATCACATATAAGTGGCAACAATCAAATGAAATGTGGCATCAAAGAATGATTCCCAAAGTGCTGAGTGTATAACGGGTGATGTTCTAAAGCTAAAAGCACAATAGTCTCCAGAAATATGTACTTAGGAGCATTTAGGGTATTGATAGTTCATGGAGGCTCATGAAAACTCTAAAAGATAAAGCCATGCTACATGCATATGCATCTTAATCTTCAGCCATGCATTTTCAATATAATCCAAAGCGGACTGCATTATATGTAAGTTTCAAGCAAAAAGAAAAAAAAAAGAAAAAAAAAAAAGCTTGCAATAAGCATTGAAATCTTAATTACTATGAACTACTAATAATTTTAATAATGCTTGGAATATTATGAGTAACTTCTGAACCATCTAGTGGTTCACAAATGAAGAATGGTGTGTAAAAAAATATCAATGAATGAATACTAGAACCTTTTAATTCCCCATAATTACAAGGACAAGTACCATGGAATCATCAGCAAAACTATTTTCTCCACAAGGCACTTCTCCAAATCAGTATCCTCAATAATCTGAAATGTTATAATGGAAATCAAGCAAGCAAAAATGAAGAAAGAAGCAGGACCATGCTGTTCACCCACGCACCTGGAGGAACAACTCCAATACCATCATCAACATCATAATCTGAGATGTCACTATCACTGATTGGCCGAGATCCTGCACAACAGTAAGGTAAACAAACACCTGAACATCTGGTCATATTGTAAAATGTAAAAATATGTTCGTTATAGTACTGCTAAAATTCAAAAGATAATCTTCACTGTAAACAAGAGGAGGATCTAAAATACAGCAATTTACAGTGGTGGTTGGTGGTTGAGGAGACAGTTGAACCAACTCAATCGTTTAATGTTGCTGCTACAGCCTCCTGTCCCCTTCTTCTTCACCCTTTGCTCACTAATTTTCTATTAGGTCAGCTCAGCTCACTAAACCAGCAAATTGCTAATTCATGATAAAGAAAAAAAAATGAATACTTTGGTGCTATTTCAATGAGCTGAGTAAGCTGAATCAGCTTGCTGAACAGGAAAGGAAATGTGGCACCATATGGTGAGAGAGGTGAAGAGGAAAGAGCACTGAGAGCTTTTATGAAAATTCAAATATCTCACAAAAACTAAGCTTTAATTTGCTACCTCTATATGCGTTCTTATGCAGCCACTCTAACACTATCACATTTCTTTAATTTATTCTTGAATATGCCTCTATTTGCTATGCAAATCGTCTGGAATTAATGACACTTAAGTTGAAGAAAAATATAGCCCTGGGTTATATTTAAAAATCATTTCTTCTGGCCTTTCTATTTCTAAATGTATTTTAAATTAAATGAGAAAAGCCATAATGGTTATATATTCCAAAATAAGTATTAATTTAATATGCATTATGCAACTGTGCAATCAGATTCCTGAAAATTAACTCTTTTCAAATGCAACTAAACCTCCCAAATACACATACAGAACTTCTCTTTGCTGCAAAAGTATGCTTGCCATCTGACTGAGCAGTGAGTGTATGGGAGGATGAAATTAACTATACTCTAAAAACTGCCTTTAGGACCCACAAAGTCATACAGGCTTTTCTAAAACGACAACTTTTAATTATTATCAAAGAATCCAGTAATGATGAACCTCATCTTTGTACTTAAAAGGAAAATTGTGCAAATCATCGTACTAACAATTCTATTCTGAACGTGAAAACCAAACCAATTTCAACATCTGTCACAACTTAGAAGTTACACATCCACATGTCACAATGTCATAATTTCATCTTTCTCATTTCGTCTTTTCTCATGTTGAAAGACTTTGAAATATTTATGTCTTACACATGAAAATTCTAATTTAAAATTTTAAAAGATGAATGGAATTTGGACCTACTTTGTAATTTTTTGCTAGAACTTTCTCCGCCATGGACATGTCTTCTTGGCATGAAGGGTGATGGATGAGGCAGAGGTAGTGAAGATTCATCATGTGTCTGTAGTTTATACCAATGTGGTTCATCATCTAAAAGTGCTGTTTCTAGCTCTATAAGAATCTAGTAGAAAAATAATCAGGTTAAATGTTACTGTTAAGGAATGATAAAATTACATAGCATGCACACATATACTGAGATATATGTGCATATCCATAATCAAATAAACAATGAAGAAATGAGGAATTTCTATACGTTACCTCTCCAAGAAATTCACTTTCTTCTTCTTGTACTCTTGGCTGATCCCATACAGTTATTTCAAGCATTCGTTCTCTAAAATCTCTACGATGTACGTGTGAGTAGAGAAAAGTTTGGTTCCATTTTGGTTCTAGACTTTTCTTTACTGTTTTGGTCCTCCTTTTACTCTTATCACTGAAACATAAGTATTTCTTGTAAAATGCATGGAGAAATAAATCACAAAATGCCACCTACTTATCAGCACTTATTGTTTTCATTCTTTCTGATCTAACAGTGCCTTGAAGAGGTATTTCTGTTCACATTTATGCAAATCTCTACTGCGTTTATTTGACACTGGCTTGCATACTTTGAATGCAGGTTTTCCTATATTTAATCTAACTTTAAAAAACTATATAATTTATATAATCTTTATTTGGTAAGCATTAATTTTATACTTGATTCAATAATTTAAAATGGTCAATTATAATATAGATTTCCAAACTGAAATGCTACCTTCTGTCTGGAAGAAAATACATTTTTACATAGGGATTCCTGGGGCGTCCATCCACTCTTGGTGGCAAATCTGTTGCTTGCAGAACATTTACTATTAATTGATGTCCCACTTTGTCATACCACAGTTTCACCTGCAGGAATCAAGTTACCAGACATATTAATCAAAATGAGAAAAAATGAAAGAATTTTCATACTGCATCAGATTAATCATAAAATAAAGGCATTTTTTTCTTCAAGAGGCAAGATGTAATTTATTTCAAATCAATAAAACTTTGTTAAGATAGATGGAAAAGATTTTGGTATTCTGCCAAGGACTTTTTTAATCTATCAAATTTGAGTAAAATGGTGGTGCCCCTTTGTACTCACATTGAGTACACACATTATGATACTCTCAGCAAAATCTTTTATCCAAATAAGCACAAATAAGTGAGTACATATCTCAACAGCATGCCTTAAAAGTTACATTTCAAATGGGAAGCCCAGAATGCAGTAAAGGTTGAGGTCTGACTGAAACCCATCTACTCTGATTTGTCATCTTGCAAATCCTCTTATAAAAAGAATAATAATCGCCTAGATTATTTCTTAAAAGAATCATAATATCATGACATTTTTGAGCCTGTTGTATACTCAGAAATTAATATAATGACTAAGTAATTTCAGTCTTTTAGAGACTTTATAAGTATTTACAAATCAAAGTCTAAGTATTCATGATATCTTTAATAAGCATGACTTCAATTAGCATAGCATTGCAGAGAACTCCAGAATGCTGTGTTTATCTAAATTAAAATGCATTACTGACTCATCAATGTAACAACGACAAAAATATAGCTCCTCAAATGTTCCCATAAAGAACACTGAGTGGTACTATGCCTGTTATCTGCCGATTACTGGACATGTACATAGTAGTTACTACTCGCAATACTGAGGGTATGCAATAACAAGTGACAAGGCACTTTCATGGGCTCTTCACAACTATAATTTCCTGCATTCTCTGGAGTCATATGACAACAACTCTATCATCTAAAAAACATTTGAAAGCTGTTGGACTTTACCAGCAACAGCCATTCTCCTTGACCTCCCCATAGACCTTATCAGAGAACATGGAAGGCCCGGGGACCAACACTTTACTTAGTTTGATAAAGCTGCATTATCAACTCAGGAAAAACAAAAGTTGCTTACAGAAAGCTGCCCTGGTAAAACTTGTGGTGCATCCCTTAGAGCTCCAGGGCTGGTTGGAGATATTACAGAAATAGAAGGCCTTTCCATCTTCTGAGATTCAAAAGAACTTGAACCTAAAAGCATGAGACAAACTCAATAACTTTCCATCTGAAATTTTGATAATGTGAAATTTGGATAATTTATAAATTGCTTCTTCTTTGGATTGTAAAAATTATTATTACACAGTACCGCACAATTTATATAAAGGAGCATTTTCAACTGATGTAGGTAGGATGACAAAAAAGACTGCCTGCCTCCCCTTATCTCAGATTAAACCTATCAATTTTTTATTCTCTTCTAAAAAAGAGTGCTCAGGTAACACTGACACATCAAACTATATGTTTTAAACAAAATATGCTCTTTCCATAGACAGAATTATGCATGTGACAGCTATGAATAAGCCCATATTTATCAAGCAGCTTATATTTCCAGTAGCCTCAGAAATGTAATTTCCATTTCCAAGGAGTAGAGTGTGCGGGAGCAAGACAAACATCTGGCATAGAGGGCATTCATGCCGAAGTGGTCTACCAGCAGCTCTCAGCCAGTACAGCAGAGCCCTCACTTCTGAAGGCAAACTCATCACAGGAACTCAGCAGCACCGCAACAGCACTCAGGCTGTCAGTCAGTGAATGACTGTTTTGGGGCACAGACTTACTGCCAGTCTTATAGACAGTCTTGAAATGCAAGAAGTATACACTTATATGGCCCTACCAACATACAAAAACAAGCAATAAAATGCTGGCAACTTTTGAAATATATATTGTTATACTACTGCAAATATTTGTAAATTATTGAATCAGAAGATTGTTTCAAATTCAAAAATACACTGAATGTTTTCACACAAAGTTTTGGGACCTGCCAAAGTTTTCCAGAGTTTATCTTCTAGAAAATTCATAGCTGAAATGATTATACTTAGTAAAAGACCTTAGTCAGTGTTAGGAACAAAATCAGTACTCACTAGACTCTAGTGGGGGATGAGAACTTTCAGGAATCCGTGGAATATCACTAAAACACGAATATACATGAAATAATTAGAAATAACTTAAATGACCTTCTGCTATATCAACTAAAATGGTTATGGGACGTTTTCTTTTCTTTTTTTTTTTTTAGAAACACAGATCTGTTTTTGTTCTCATGCATGGATGAACAGAGGGAAAGAAAGGGAAAATACTTAGACAATTGACTGTTTTGCACTAGTGTTCATGAAAATTTTAATAACGTAAACTACTATTTCTTTCAAAATGAGAAACTAGAAGAACTAACAATATGAACACTACAATGCTAATATTGTGGATAGATTCCACAATATTTTTACAAGTAAAACAACAAAGAGCTTTTATGAAGAGAAAAGTGGCAAAAGAGACTATAACTACTGGTGTTCAACTACTTGGAGGGGGAGAAAAAGAAGCAAAGAGATAGATTAACTCACTAGTAATTTTTATACAAACGTCTCAACGAGTTCACGGAATGAAAGTGATGAAAATGTCTTACAACGATAAAAAGAAAAAGCAAGTAACATGAGCAACATTAAACAAAAATAAAAATGTATTTCTTCAAAGGCTAAAAACATGGCATGTTACAAATAAATGTGGTCATTTTTCTGTATTCATATACAAATACCTAGCATAGAAATATATATATATATATATATATATATTTTTCAAAATTACACTGGTTAAGTCCATGGCCATCAACTGGAATTTTGCCATCCACAAAATGACTCTAGTAATTTTGACAATTTTTTGACACTAACTGACACTAGTTTCTGGATCTGTTCTGTTTTCACCAGTGATGGATTCGATAAGTAAGAAATTACTGCTAACAAGAGTTATTAAACTGCAGCAGGAAAAGAGAACTAAAGCTCTAATAGAGCTGTAGAGCTCTACTAAAGCTCTACAGTTGGTTACTTAAGAAGACTATTCATTTAAATAAAATGATACACTCTTGAAACTACAATAGTATTTTAATGAATATTTACCGGATTTGGAGTAAAAATCTGGACATTTTAAAAGTACTCAGTGAAACATTATGTTACTGACTTGGAAATAAGCAAATCTAAGGCTCCCAGGTACATATAAATGTCATTGTCAAAAAAAGGAACAGATAAGTCAGGAAAGGCATGTAGTGGTGCCCCATCCCTTAGAACGCCAATTCCAAAACAACCAAATTTCAGTAAGAACGACTACTGACACTACACAGACACTCTGAAAATCTTAGCCCATATTTCCAATCAGCTACTCATAAATCTGCATTTCAGGTCCTCCTATTTTGCTTCTCTGGTCTGTGTGATGAAATAAAGTATCTCTGAGCTCCCAGCCTATATCGCACTTTAGCTTCCATTTCACATCACTAAACAAGAATGTGCTTCTCCTTGCCTTGATCTTGTACTTCAAGAGTAATGTGGCTTTCTCAAATTCATGGAAAAATAACGGCTTCATTTATTCTCAGTAGGGCATATTACTGTTTCATGAACATATATCCATAGGGACAGCAGTTCTGTTGAGCAAATCTTTTAATATTTTCTTTCTTCAATTCTTATAATTCTGAAATATTTACTCAGAATATTCAAACTGATTTTTCTGTTCCATATGACTTTTTTATACTTCTTTTTTCCTGTGCTAGAATATGAGCACTCTCTCCTGCAGCATAGCATTATTTGTATTAGTATCAAATTTAAGACAAAGGAGTGTTTAAACATAGAAAGTTCAGCCTCCAGAGTCAAGTTATGCCTGGATTGGTAGAGAAAGAAAATAAAATACTTCCATTTCCATTTTTCTGGTATTGTCTTGTACAGTGGACAAATCTTCAGATTTTTTTGGAAAGAGAGCTAAAAATAAAACCAAATAATGATTATGCATATATAAGTACTTAAGAACTGATTCACTTTAACATCCCTTTACACCGTTAGACTCACAGATAGCAGTCTAATAATGAATGAATATGAGAATTGGATCCACACAGTTTACAAGAGAAAGACTAAATATTACTGTGAATACAAAGATCCTGACAAACTGGTCAGGATGAGAGCATTTTCTTCACTGGTAATACAAAAGCCTTTCTAAATATTCACCAGGCAATGTGGAGTGACAAAAATAAGCTGCGCTTTTTAAAGATGATGCACATCTGACAGGAGAGAAATGAAAGTACAATTTATAATACATATTTCTAAACTCCTCAAAATATTTACGCAAAACTCACAGCAACAGAGATGTCTAGAAGATAAATTTAACTGCATGGTTTACAATGGAAATATTGTTTGGCAAAATTTCTTAAATATTACATTCCCCAAGAACAATATTGGTGTACTAATTTTTGTCAAATGTATGAATGATTTTTCTCTTTTCAATGTTAGTATTCAAATTAAAGAACAAAGTTTCTAAAATTACACTAGTATCTCCAGCTTGTAAAGTAACAAAATGAGCCTTACTTAGACTACTATTATTTTTGGATTGCAGGAAATATTCTGACATTATTATTTACAACTGTTTTTTAGAAGAAATAGTAAAAATCTCACGACTTAAAATATTCAAAATATTTTGAATATATTTGAATATTAAAATATTCAAAAGTAGACTAGCCAAAGCAATGACGAAAGTGTATGACATAGTTAAAGCACTTATTAAAATGGAAACAGAATTTTACTTGCCCTTCAAAACAATGTGAATTTCAGAAAAGTAACATCAGAATCTATGAAAGTAAAAAATTGCCTACACTAAAATTTAATTTCTACTTTTAAAGGCAATGCTAGTACTAAGTATTATGTGATGCTACATACGATCATCCATGTTCTGACCCTTCCTCCAGGAACACCTAAATCCAAACTGTAGCTGAGCGTGAGACTGTTGTGAGCAGATTTGTTTTGTGAGCATCTGGAGTCGACCACTACTTTTTAAAGCATATACACAGCATACTCTGAGCAGTAGGGAAGCATCATCCTCTACATTTTTTGGAGATCCTTAGTTTCTGTTCCCAATATTCACCCTCCTTTTTCCCCAAACTATTTTTTCTTATCAGAACTTGTAGCTCAATCTGTACATTGCACTCTTTATATTATTGGAGCGACTCTCTGGAACTTAGTACTGCCTGTTCTGTTACAGCACAGCAATCCCTACACAGAAGCTGAACCACACCAGCTTTGGCACTATTAACAATATGTGTGGAAATCCAAGCAAAGATATTTTGGATCAAAGAAAACTGGAAAACAAAACAAAACAAAACAACAACAAAAAATTGGTTTTACCTGCATTATCTCATCTAAGCTCATCGGAACACAAAAGAGACACAGGAGATGGTTACCGTGCCAAATTTCTTCTCCGAACAGCTTACTGCCACAGGTCTTTCTATGCTGTCTTATGCCAGCAGCCCCTTGTGATTTATGCATATTCATGGGCGTTTTTCCCCTCGTATTTAGATGTCCAACCCATTCATTGTACCTTTTATAGCCTACTTAATTACCTTGTGTTGTAATCATTAGCATTAACGTCAATTAGTTCCTATGGTGTTTCTATGGTACTATTGTGGTTTTACAGTTTATTGTTGTTATGCCTTTATCTGCTAAGAGCACCATATTTTTCACATTTTCTCTAATAAACATCCTACAATTATCCATTACTCATAATTACATTAGCTGATAAATACGGAAATAAAAATTTACAAGACCAAGCAAATTGTTTAGGCATTAATTTTGTCACTTGCAGGCATCTAATCTATGCCTTTACAGTCCACCACTTAAATCAAATTCCTCATATTTGGGCTTTTTAGACATAATATGCTGGACTTTTAAAATAAAGGCCATTAGATGTGCTGGTACATTATTTGCATTATTAATACCAAGAGATGGAAACACGTAAATTATGCAGACGAAATATCATTTTTCAGGACTTTCGGGAATCTGTTTCTTTACAGAAATTTTAGGTGTGTAATGGACTGCCACCCATTGCTACTATTAATCAGATAAAATTTTGCTGAATCAGCACCTGAAGTAGACACAAAGCTTGCCACTTTGGTTCAAGTGAGAGCCACTTTCAGGATTTTGAAATACATAATTCAGAAAACAAGACAAGGAGAAGTTACAAAAAAAAAACGAAAAAAAAAGAAAAAAAGAGGTAATCTGACATCCACATAAGAATATATATATAACCCAATTAAAGTGTACTGTAATAAAGAAAGTGTTGTGCAGTATGTTCTTTTTTCTAAACCTATACAGATATTTCTTCTGTTCTACAAGGTACGACTTTTTGTTTTGTTCTTTTTAAATGACAGACAAGTAAACCACAATCTGATTCAAAAAAAGGACTTTGATTCTTTATTCCTGGACTATTTCTAGTCCATTCTGATATTTATATCCTCTCTCTCTCTCTCTCTCACAACAAAACGCAAACGATCAGGACACAGTTCCAGTCAGGAATAAAGTTGTTATACTACGCAAATACTTCATAATAAGACGCATATTGTTCCACAATAGTGCAGTCTGATGTGGTCTCTTTTTACCTCTGTCTGGAAAGAAATACAAATGGGTCACGAACGCAAAACATTATATTTTTCTGGTTTCAGAATGCATTTGATGAAATTCAACTATCAGATTCAGAAATATTCTTTAACATGAAGTCCATATTAATATGGAAATGTTCTTTAATATGGAAGTCATATTTTTAAAATATGAAAATCTTGACTTTTAAGAATCTCCTTATGGCATTTTTTTATTATAAAGATTTAGGTGTGATCTGCAATTTTCACTCAAGAAGATCTACTGGTTTATCTGACTAAAGAATGCAAAATTAGGTTTCTACTCCTCCACAGTGTCCATCTGGATTGTAATTTTAGTTTCTTAAAAATCAGAATAATTGCATCATTTAATTTTCTATATAAAGGTCAAACTCATAATTGAAATTAGAACCATGTTAGTTTTATTTAAAGACTGATAATGATGATCATGATTATAAAGGCAGAGCTCATTTGCAAAATAGCTACATTTGCATAGTACAGACAAAAATCAAATATCAAAAGCTGATGTGAAATAGATGTAGAACAAAACTGTTCTAGTGAGGAATGTGTTTATCTTACTAAGATAAAAACAGTTATTAGATTTGAGAGAGAGAAAAAAATACAATTGGGTAAAGTCTGACAAATTTAGAATGAGATAAAATTTGTGTATTTATATGGAGAAAACGTTTTATTGTCTACGTGCAAGATACGGATTTGCAAGACCTGGGAAGCTGACAAGCTACAGATAGATTTTTTTAATTTGTTTCAAAACTAACCAAAATCCACTTGTTAATCATGGAACAGAAGTGTGCTGGAAGATACAAAATCTGATTCACATTGAAACCTGCACGACTTAGCTCAAAACAGTCCCAACAGCATCATGCTCAGGGATGGGATGCCCAATATGACACAAAGAGGCTGTGACAATTAGAGGGATTATTTTTGCCAACTGAAACAGATTTTCTGACCCTTCTGATGCCTGCTTGGAAAATCAATACTAGAAGAACTGTTGCCAATAACCTCAACCTTAGATTTATTATAAATAAACATTAGGACTATAAACATCACTTTTTTTTGTTTAAAATTATATTTGTTAATGCAAAGGTATTTTTATCTTTCCACTTTTGATTCTGATAACAATATCACTTGAAACTATGTACAGTATTTTCAAATAAAATAAAGTCCTTTGTTTCTATAAAGTTCCTACTAGTATTGACTTATTTCAAATTATAAAATACTCAGTGCTTGCTGATGCTTTCTTCTGCTCACTAATACTCATGCAAATTATTTTAATTTAACAAAGTTAAAGCCTGACAAATAGGTTTAACTCACTCGCCATTTCATACACTTTGTGTGAGAAGCCTGGCTTAATTCATCATAAACAATAAAAAACTATTTTCTTCCACCATTTGGCAAAAACCTTGTTAGTATTTTGACTATACTAAAATACTAATATATATCACTGTACAGATCCAAGCTTCTCATAAGTAGTAAAGAAAATGGAATAAGCACAATATTAATAATAAAAAGAGAATCATTCCATTATTAAAAGATAAAAGCTAATGAATTCACAAATAATCCCTTTAAAAGTCGCATTAGTGGAAGTAATAGCTATGCTTAAAAAGCAAGTCTTTAGCCTTACCCAATAGGCCTTGAAACAATAATTTCAACTTGAGGTTCTGATTTGGATTCTAAAATTATGTTGTAAACTTCTTCATTTGTAGCTCCAGGCAGGGGTTTACCATTCCATTCTAGAACTTCATCCCCTTGAATTTAAAAAGAAGGTTATGTCGTTTCCATATTCTTTTACAGTGAAGTACAAAATATTCATGAAACCAAATGTAACTAACTTCCATTCACCAAATGAAATAAATTAAAAACTGTGTTGAAATCAGAAAAAGGTTTTGAGTTTTTGAGTCACTTTCAAGGCTCAGTTTTTGGAACACTGCTACAGCTCGTAGACGACAAAACATGTTAAAGAAATCATCTCTTGAAACATTAAATATTTCTGAAATAAGGTAGCACAAGTCACTGTGAAATGGAAGAACGGTGCTTTTTAAGAGGTTCTTTATTGGCTAGTAAAAATAAGCACTGCAAACAGGTTTATCTTCAAAGATGAGAAATGTGATTATCTAATGTTAAAACTTTTAAAATTATGCCTTTTATTACAATTTATACCCTGTGTGTTTTGATTTCTCTACAAAAAGGAAAGCTTTCATTGTCCATGCCAAATGAATAAAAGTTATAAGCAAAGAATGAGTCAATGTCTCCTGAGCATGTTAGGGGGGATGAAAACGAAAACAATGTGAAGTTATTAAATAATATTCATTTTTTTTAAGTTTGCCATCTAACATTTAAATACATATATCCACTGCATTGTGCTTTGGCATTATTATGAAAGGCAAGAAGTTTTTAAATATAGTTTCTAAGGAAAACTCAGTATATAAAATTAAACTGCAGGGATCATAATGTAAGTTTAAATTCCCATATCCCATCATATACAGCAGTGAACCTCCACAATCACCAGTGTCACAAATCCTTAAATGTTATTATTATTTACATTTTTTATACTTCTTTCCTGAAAATGATTTAATGTTTGTCAGATTCAGTGAGAAGTAACTCTACAGCTGCTGACTTTGCTCCTTTCTGATGTGATAAAAAGCAAGTAATAGAATTGGGTTCATGAATAAGCCCTGGAAAATGATCATAAAACCTTACTTTCTAACTACCAAAATATGCAGCTTTAATTTCTGTTTATGTTCAATGACTGTCATTTCTTCAACCCAAACTGCCCACATTTTGATATTTTAAGAAAATCCATTTGAAGAAGATCCTAAAAAGGATCACATCAGTTTACAAAGCATTTTAGCTTTCTTTAACACATAAGGGTTTGCAGTATACTAATGAAAGCTGCCATGCTCATTTTCTGAAGTAAGTTTAATTTTCCACTGCAAAATAGAATAATCATGTAACTGAAACTAATTTAAATATCTGATATACTTATTACATACTCTTATCATGTGAAGGGGAACAGGTAGTAATTCTAGATATTTATGAGAAACTAGATTTAAAATTCATACATCTTAGTGAAAACACTCTGAATTTCTTTTATGCTTTTAATTGCATTTTAAAGTTAACCACAGCTATAAATTAATGTGACTATTTTTCCTTAAAATAAAATATATTTTTTACAGAAAGCTAACTTAATTTCTAAAATCATCACATTAAAAAGAACAAGTTTTGCAATTCTTATAATACCAAAAAACAACATACACATACGCTAAATTTATAACACAAATAAAAGCACACAGCTTATACTTAAATTGCACAACAAAGAATCTAACACATTTTCAAGGAGACGGAATAGGTGCACTGTAGCTGAGGACCCTCTGGAGCCACCTGTGAGATGTCTGTACTGCTCTTTTAGAAATCTAAGCAGCTTTTCACTTAGGAGAGTCACTAGCAGAAGAAAACAAGTTAAAAAAATTATCGTCTCCAATCTGACTAAGCATAAGATCATCATAGAGGGAATGTTAAATTAATAGAAGTGGCTCTAATCATGCTTGCAAGTAACAACTTAAGGCTAAGTCGAAATGGGGATTTAAGTGTGATGACACTCCTCCTAGTACTAACCAGATAACCAGCAGCCCGCAGACATCCTTTTTATTTTGCTCAGCTGGACCAATTCTTGGTCTCTTATGTTGCCTTTTTCATAATTTTGCACTCTGATTTCTCCTCTCAGTGACATGAAAACAGGGAAACACCCCAAACGGCTGCAAATCCAGGTGAGCTGAGCTCTCCCGTCTCCTATTACACTGTTGTAGTCCAGAGCTCCAAGCGTAAGGTGGCCAAGGAGATGTTAATAATAAGTAAAATAGTAAAATAACTGTAGTGAGTTTGGTTGCTGCAATAAGCCATTTTAAAAATGTTTATATTGCTTATTTTATAGAGTGTGACAAGCAGCTCCTGAGATAGCAAGCAAAAATTTCACAGGTGGTACTCAGTACTGACAGTTCAGCACTAATGAATAATGCCTTGTGTTTTGTTCATATATCTAAGTCACTCAAGGAATAATAAACTAGAAATGTAAGCAGTTTTAGCATTCTATAAGGGCTTGAAAAACATGTTTCTTTGTTTACAAAATATCAGCATATCACATATCACTTGACTGAAATGAGTATATATTAGCAACTGCATTCCTAAAAGCCATAATTTAAGACAATATATTTTATGTGCAACCGGTTTACTTACCCGCCCTGAGATGCCCCACCACATCAGCCAAGCTACCTTTCTTCACTTTGGTAATGAAGGCACCGAGTCGTCCCAATTCTGTCATTTTTCCTCCAACAACCTGCATAATGATAAATTTGTAAGCTTCCAAGCAACAAGCCAGACATCATATCAAGCATAAACCTATAGACAGATTATTTTTTGGATTATTTTTAAATTCAACTAAGTCATGCATAGTCAAACCTTTATTCTGAAATTACCATTATGGAGACTTAAGGAGAAAGTTGCATGCACAAAAAAAGAGCCAGTTCTGTTCTCAGCAGATTACACTGAAATAATATACACCAAAAATGTTGCCTTGTTTGATATGGTATTATCTCCAGCAATTTTAACCTTTTCTGTTGGTTGTTTTGTCAGTAATATCTTCAGTAGAATTTTATAATACAATGCTTCAGGGGAGCAGTGGTTCATTAGGTATTATTTCTTCATGTTTGCATCCTGGTAACTACTGGGAGTTTTAATACAGACACATACCCAAGAGGAGGACTACCTCTCATCCACATCTTAATTTGGAGTCACTCATTTAACTGTAAGTAGCTTTCTTGAAATAAATTGTGCATTTAGCACAACCTCAGCCATTTTCACTGATATGCTTTACATATATCTTATAAACTCTTCTGTCATGGATAGGCAGAAGATACGCACAAAAGGATGAAATAGATTTACATCAACAATTTATCTGTATAACTTTCAGTGTTTACTAAAATGAAATTATTTTAAATTTCCTCAGCTAACTGTAAAATTTATGCATCATGCTTTATTTGAACTAAGGGACATATTTACAGCTGGCACTTGAAAGGCAAATACTATCTGCGAATCTTATGAGATTCTTAGCACTTGGCAAGACAGCAGCATGAATTTCATGTTACCATTTACCTGGTTTATACTTTTTTTTTCTGCTTGGAATATCTGGAACTTGAATTCAAGGGATTTAACAGAAATAACAGAGAAAGTATACTTGAAAATGAAGAGATAAGCATATACAAAGTGTCTCTCTGTTTCCAGTCCACCAAATGTATGAGTTATCCCAGCTTCCAATACCTGTGTCTTCAGCTCAAGCTCAAGGTGGTCTGTATTAGGCTCCAGAGAGCTACAGTGAGGGTTTGATTGCCCCTATTTTAATTTTCCAAGTGCTCGTAACACTACATATGTAGGAAATAAATCCTGTTTATAATGAACATGGGGTAAAGGCTTTTCCTGTCTTATATTTCAAGGAAAACACCCTGGAATATTTCCTGCTCATATTCAAACGCCGGACTGCATTTGCAGTCAAGCTTTAGGTGCTGCTGCTTCCGTAGACACAGGGCTGTATGCCTGTGGTACAGGCACAAGGGCTGCTCTAACCAGGATGGGTAGTATTTTGTCCTGCTGCAAAGCAGCAGCTGCTCAGCAGCAGCCTCAGACACCCATTTACATCTGGAGTATTGTGTCCAGTTCTGGGCTCCACAGTACAAGAGGGATGTGGAGCTGCTGGAGAGAGTCCAGCGCAGGGCTACAAGGATGATCAGGGGCCTGGAACATCTGCCCTATGAGGAGAGGCTGAGGGAGCTGGGCCTGTTCAGCCTGGAGAAGAGAAGGCTGAGAGGGGATCTAATCAGTGTCTATAAGTACCTCAAGGGAGGCAGTGAGGAGGATGGTGCTGGCCTCTTTTCACTGGTGGCCACCGACAGAACTAGAGGAAACGGCCAGAAACTGAAGCATCAAAAGTTCCACAGGAACTTAAGGAAAACTTTCTTAACAGTGAGGGTGACAGAGCACTGGAACAGGCTGCCCAGAGAGGTTGTGGAGTCTCCTTCTCTGGAGATCTTCAAAACCCGCTTGGACGCAGTCCTGTGCCACGTGCTCTAGGTGACCCTGCATGTGCAGGGGGGTTGGACTAGATGATCTCTAGGGGTCCCTTCCAACCTTAAGCATTCTGTGATTCTATGATTTAAAACCTGAACACATATTATACGACTACAAACATAAAACCAAAGATGCAGTGGAAATAAAGGCATGTAGTATTCGGGAGACGGAAGAATGTAGGGCTGGGGAGTAAGAAGGTCTACAGAGTTAGGACTGTGTGTCAGAATGGATACGAAAAGGGAGATAAGTGGTTACCACCTCCCACTCTCTACTCACATCCAAAGAGATCTCTCAAAATTGAGGATTACCTCATATTTTGAAGCATGTGGAATAGCATATGGAATACATTTTTGCCAAATGAGAGTATAAATGGAAAGGCCTCTGATTTAATGTTAGACTTCTATATATTAGGTCAGTGATAATTTCATTCCCTTTACTACTTACTTTTAGCCCCAGTAATGCACCTGATTCTTTTGGCATGGTTGTTCTCTTGTTAAGAATAACACGTCCAATTAAGCGATCTCCCTCTTTAGAAGGCTGCCACGTTACTGGATGCTGTTAAAAAAACAAGCAGTGTAATAAAGGAACCATCTTCCTGTTTCTGTATGTGCACTTGTGTACAAATCCAATTTGCTAAATCATCATGTCATGCCAAACACAAACACCCTTCTGATGTATGATACTGCTGAGCTTTCTGTTGTTATATTTGTTAGGCTCTGGCTTCAATAAATACATAATTAACACGCTCACTGCAAAAACTTCTCAACACTAAATCAGTGGGTAAAATTAAAGCACTTTTCAAAGGTTAATATAATTAAACATTTAAAACACATATTAAGTAATAAAATTAAATATTTACATTTAATTCCATAACCCTGAAAAGTGTTGCTACAAATTCTGTCCTTTAAAGTAATATGTACATTATTCAGCTTTATGGGTCCATTATATAATAAAAGTCAATATCCTTTTTCCATTCAAAGTGAAATGAAACATTCACTAATCACACTCGGTGTAGTCTAACATTCACAACTTCCATTGTGATGTGTAACTGACATGGTGAAACAGCATGTACACACAAGAATTCAATCTACATTAAAACTCAGTTAATTTTTGTAAAATATATTTTGATGAAACCCTTTTGAGTTCCAAGCTACTTAAATCAAGTTTTCATATATTATAAACAGAATCAAAGTTCTAATAACAAGGTATCAAAGTTGAACTGAAATAATCAGTAAACATTTTGATTCGTACATATGAACTTATTTTTTCTCTATTTCTTACCGAACTAATTGGGGATGTCTCCCTACTGTGCCATGTGGCAGGATCCAGCCAGTAATAATCCAAGTCACCTGGAAGAATGCGAATGGAAAGAAATGCATAATCTCTCACACAGAGAAAGGTGTATGAATGATTACTTCAGTATGCATTACTTTCAATGTACATGTACTTTTAATGTCTAATCATACAAATTCAACACTTGCATTATGATTCAAATTAGCTTAGACACATCAATTTGAAAATATAGCATACATATATATATATAAATATATATATATATATGAATATATATATATATATATAAAATAACACAACGATCTCTGTTTCTTCATGAATCACACATCCAAATCAGCTGGGATGTTCTTCAGTTTGCCCAGTCACTTCCCAAGGATGGATTCCAAAATACAGCACTCACCTTCCTCCTCCTCCTCCATTTCCATAATAAACACACAGTGCTACAGCTAATAATAGCATTAAAGAAAATGCTTCACAGAAAAAGCACCTAGCTAGAGTTAAACTACAAAGGAATTAATACCGTGCAAAAAGGCACTGTGCAGACCATGATGGACAGAAGATGAGAAATAATAACAGAACACAGACTGCAGGGTTAAGATAGCCACATAAAAAGAATAAACTGTACAAATAGCAAGTACAACATTGAGATCTTTTTTTTTTGCGGGGGGGACAAACTTCTACAGTGTGTACGTTGAGAATACAACAACGAATGAAGCTGTCCAGAAGCCCCGGGTTGCTGAGGCTGAGGACCAAGGCACATCAGTGCTGAGCGCGGAGCCTGGGACACTGAGGGCAGGCTGAGGAAAACTTGGAATTTTTTATTCCTTTAGCCATTACTGCAGTATAAGAGTGCAATGCAACAGTTAGGTAGGAGGATAACTCTTTGTAATGCTCTCTTGAAATAACAGCAGTCCATAAAGGCTTATCTTAAGTAATCCAAGTAATACGTGGATTTTTTTATGTGTGAAAAGAAAAAGTAAGCTATTCTGCTATTTATTGCAATATCCTAAAAAAAATCGAAATCAAAACACCCACCTCTTGCTATTTATTGCAATATCCTAAAAAAATCGAAATCAAAACACCCTGCTGAAGTCCATATTTATACCTAACCCCTTGTGATACTTTTTCACCCTCACTTCTGTAGAAAACCTTGGTCATTTGAACTGTTAGCAGAACAGTTTGACACGACTGCTTTTTGAACTCACAGTGAGTATTTTCTTTGAACTTTTCAGATTATGTCCTAGAGTCTAGATTCTATTACAGAACAACTCTTCCTAGTCTCTTCTAACAACACTCCTAGATCACTTAGAAACTACTGGGTAAAAACGCTCCTTTCATTAAGGTCAGGGACTTATTTCAGATACACCAGCTTTTCACGCTTGATATGTTCTATGATTTGGGAAAACATACTATATATTTTTTATGTACACTGTACATAACAAAACTTCACTATTTTATTTTAGCAAATATATCTCTATAACTATAGTTACATCGTTACTCTTACAGACAACCAACAGCAGTCCAAACAAAGCAGGCAATTAGCAAGAAAAAAACACATATCTACACAACGGCCCCACCATTTTTGTCATTCTATATTATTGTTGCTGCTCTACCTAATAGCTATTTATTTATGCCATTCTTGCATTGCAGTATCCCACAAGTTAATGTTTAACTACACATAATTTCACTAAACTAGTATTAGAGGTGTGAAAATGTAAAGACATTGTTTCAGAATTTATAGTTTTATATATAATATTTATAGTTACAATTCATGCTTTACTTAGGATTAACAGAGTGAAATAAGTATACAGTCATAAAACTCTATTCCATCCATTATCCCAATGGAATAATTCAAAACATTGTATGCTGTCAGAAATGAAATACTTTTCCTATTCTATCACATTATACTGCTGCTCAATTACTGTACACTGGGGCATAAACTGATACAATAATACATCTAATTTACCAAATACATAAAGATATGAGACAACTGTATTGTGTATTTCCTGAGAAGTGTTTGCTGTCTTCAATCTAATTTCAAGATGGGAAATAACTTGATTTTTTATCAGCAACACACAAGCCTTCAAAACAGAGGGAAAACAAAATTGGTAGCACTGAAACAGCGCTCTCTCCAAAACGCTTCCTCTTCAGCAGTACTATCCATATCATAACTTAATGCTGTGGTTTTGTGTGAAATTCTGCAAAACTCTTAAGTGCTAGAAATGACAGCCTTGTCTCTGCTGCAAAGCTGAAGTTTTTTTGCTTGAATGTGCACAGAACACAAGAATCACTGTTATCATGTATGACTAGTCACTGCTTTCCAGAGAATCTTTAAGACTGGAGGTTTAATGGCCCAAAATGTTTCCCTAGCCCTAGACTATGTTGAAAGACCAGTGATATTTGGCGAAGAGTCCTACTCTGGTGCTTTGCTCAAACCCAGGCGCACCAGGTCTGTTGCAGTTATCTATATTTGGCGAAGAGTCCTACTCTGGTGTTTTGCTCAAACTCAGGTGCACGAGGTCTGCAGCAGTTATCGAAGACAGCAGGCAGGCAGAGCCCATAGGAAGATTCAGCCTGCCTCCGTTAGACACTTCCATGGAGATTTAGCTGCTAATTAATGAAATAGTTCTACACTGTCCCTAGAAAACTTAGACTGTTATTTTCAGAGGCTTCACCTAAAATTAAAGAGCAAACCACCTTCCTAAACTAGACAGAGTAGATCTTTCTACTAGCATAAACAGCAGGCATATATGCTGTTTGTATTTATTAACTTTGTTAACCTAAAGATTTAAAGATGGCATGTACTCTACAGAGAAAAAAAACTTATCAAAAACCTGGAATAGTTCTGTTATGTCTTCCTCAGATCTCATGGAACGAGATCAGTATTTTATGACTGTTGATAATTTTTCCCAATGTAAAATCAACAGAAGCCACCTCTCAATCCACAGAAAGTTAGGACAAGACCACCCTACGAATAGAAAAACTGGAAAATATGCTTAGTATATTGCTACATTTGGCTGCTATAACACATGCGATAAATCATATCATTAAGACATTAACAGTAAGGCAAGAAAGCAGTTGTATGCCCAAGAAAAAAAATAGTAAAGACTTTTTTATCACTTCAAAAAATAATTAACAGTATAACCAATATATGTTTAAATTATTACAGTCAAGGTGCATGTCTAACCACTAAAGGAGAAAACACATGAAGTTCTCTGGCTTGACATAGAACACTCACATCTAAGTGGCAAATGGAGAATTCAAAAAGCTCTCTGTTGCCTATTTATCCCGGAAGCTTCACAAAATGTTCGTTTTATCCTTGATTTCAAATCAACTGACTTGATACACCTAAAACCAAGAACTTAAATCCTTGTAGAATGAAGTCGGTGTTTTAATATTTGCACAGGTCAACGACAGGCTGGCTCATGTGATATTTGGGAAGAATTTCCCATGACTATCAAGTTGAGAACTTATTTTGTACAGAAAATATGTAATGGACATGGACATGAGCCACTCTTATAGGTCCTAACCACTGAATGCTAGTACAAGACTCCAAAATGCAAATAAATACAGGTAATCCACACAAGTAACCATCAGTTTTTTGTTTAATAGGTAATTGAATTTGTGAAATGAAAAGCAAGTTATTTTTTTCAAGAAAGTAATATGATCTTATGATTTTGGATACAGAGATATATCTCTCTCTCTTAAATTAAAAGCCTGTGTCATTTTGTGAAGCAATCCAACTACTTTGAAGTTTGCCATGTTTAGCTAACACAATTCTCCTTCCTCTTCTTCCTTTTTGTTTGTTTGTTTTTGGCTGGGGGCTGATTCTCTTTGAGAGAAAGGTGGTAAAACGTATTTTAAAAAGCCAACATAGGCAAAATTTTTTCCTGTGGTGATTTAAAAATGGTTGAATAAGCGTTAACTGTGAAAGAAGGTAGTATTTTCAGTTAGGTCTCCTGGTATTTTTCCCTGACCATTTAAAAAAGATTTCTATCCTAATACTTGTTAAAGACTAATTCATGAAGAAATATATAATTCAATATCCAAACAGAAAATAAATTCCTCCCAGGCTCCAGGGTGTTTCACATATATTGCTAGGAAGTCAGCATTTTAACAAGGAGACGTGCACAAGCAAAGCTGTCACGCTGAGACACCACAGCCCAGGCGCTGCGAGCCCTGCGGATGAGATCCCAGAGAGGTGCCGGTGTCCTGGAAGACCTTGAGGAGCAGTGACTAAAATGGGCAAGGCTCAGACAGACTTATCTGGCAGATCCTCCACAGCACTGCACCGGATGGTAATCAAACATGTTCCTTTCTCCTCTTCAGAAGGGAATACTGCAGGACAAAATGCTTGGAGTGCACATGGGTGATCACTGATACAAAGCAAGCAAGCAAAAAAAGAACTTCTTCCAACCAGTGGAGGGAGATTGTTAAGGGCATGAAAATGAATCTGCTTTATGATCTTTAAATAAGGAAGGATGAGAATGGAATTAAAAAATGAAAAATCTTTAGACTTAAAAAAACTGCTTTATGATCTTTAAATAAGGAAGGAGGATGAGAATGGAATTAAAAAACGAAAAATCTTTAGACTTAAAAAAATAGAGAAAACAATGAAGCAGATATTACAGCAAAACAACTCCAGGAATTATGGAAGTTTTTCAAAAAAACAGTGCAATTCTCAGCGTCATAACCAGCCCAATACAGAAGAGAAGTACAGTAAATGACTGACTAACCTAGCCATGACTGTTTCATTTTCCAGAAGATGTACATGGAGTGTTATTTGTAAGCAAATAGCTTAAGATGATTGTGATAGAGTACATGGAGCATGCAGGGCCAAATCAGAGAGGTCAACACACAGACTAAATGCAAGCATCAAGGGATGGAAAGATGATCAAGAAATCATTCTGCACTATCGGAGAGTTAAACCACAACCGTTTGGCTCTTTCAGCAAATGATTCCAGGCCAGGCAGGAAAAATGTTCTGCCAAAGCAGGAAAAGATGAGGTCAGACTATCTAAATAAATTATACACTGAGCGATTTCACTTCATCCTAG